AGACACTGAACAAAGAGTTCTCTTTGTTCAGTGTCTATTCTTTTGTAAATGAATAAAACAAATGTAAAAGCAGACAGTCCGTGTAAATTATTACTGGAAGAAGATCAAAGTGATGTCCGTTATCATTCAGCTTTATATTTGTAAGGAAGTGTGATGCTTTTAAGTAAACGATGAATTTTATGTAAATGTCAATATGTCTCACAGTCAAGAGCAACATAGTCTGTTTGATACTGGAGATAATTCTTACAAGGAAACCTTTGCGTGTATGACTTATGAAACAGTAAACACGAAATAAACTTTAGTGTCTCTGAACAGAAGATTAGATACACACAATTTAAACAGGTAATCAAATTGCAAACCTCAGGTTTTTTTCTTCAGTTTAAGTTCTATTGTTCATTAACTTCTTCTCTAAGTTTCTCTTGGATTTTTTCTTGGAGTCAACTATTAATTCTTTCGAATGACTATTTCAAAATGTAAAGAATTTGTTTAGAATTGAGCTGAATGTCTACATAGTACGTTTTTCTTGTGATAACTTTTATACTGTTTACTAAATTTCTTAAAGGTGCAAACAAAACTGTAAAATCGGTTATCTGATGGAAAGATAAAACAGATCACTGGAACTTGCTTTCGTTCCTACCCTGGCTTCTAGGGAAATAACTTACTACATATTTCGTGAAATTGAATTTCTGTCTCGACTTTGTTGATGAGTCTTTTTGGGGCATAAAATATTCTTAGAGGTTTCTTTCTGTTCTACCTGTTTTATCTTCATCCTCATTATATTCTGTACATAATCTTTTTTTCGCACATTTTAAGCTAGTTGAAGTTTAAATTACGAAACCTAGAGTGTTACAGTGATCTAGCAAGTAAGTAAGTACGGAATCTCTTTACTTTAGAGATAAAACCTTAATTAGAAGACTTCATCATGAGCCGACATCGGTTAGAGAACCATCGGAAAACCTGAGAATGCTGGACAGCTGTTTCGTCATCCTAGTTTGGGACTGTTCATCAGCATGCACTCACTGGGGGTTCAACCCATCAAATCCCTACAAATCAACACTTGTACACCTCGATTTTCACAGTTTTAGCCTCTGTTGTTTTAAACTATGTCGTTAGTACTCCACAGTAGGATTTTCAGTGTGACCTCGGTTATGTCACCGAAATCATTGATAAGAAAAAAAGGCCTTTCCTATCGAGTGATATCATTTGACTTAAAAGTCATAGTCTCTTTTATGTCTAGTGATATCAATGCACCAAAGTAAATATTCTAAGTGACTTTATCGCATTATCCTTAAATATATTGGTCATTATTGTTGTTATTATTATTACTATCACTCCTAACAATTTTGATAGAGATAAAATGGTGATGTATTGCTTAACAGATAGAAATCTTTATCTTATGCCAACCTTATCTTGCTGTTTCTACCACCTGTTCGTTAGTGTGTCTGTGAACTGTTGGCCATTAAAATATAACTATTAAGATTTTAGTTACGAGCAACTATACACAATTCTGTATAATGCATGGAAATTGTGATTTCAGATTGTTCACTTTTCAATCTGAAATCACAATTTACATGCATTACATGCAAAAATTCCTTGCCAGTAATACTATAGATTGCAGGAGATGAAACAGCATTGTGTCCACAGTATTTGTACCCGTTATATTTATGGTTCATCTATTCCTTTTGACACTATCAAAAATATCTTTCGTGGTCTCAGTTTTGCCAATGATAAGTGATCGCGAGAGGAGTATAAGTATAATGATAAATTTCATCGTTTGCCTGTGATAAGATACAAAAATAAACTTTTAGAACATTTTTAGGCTGTGCATAAAACTCTGTCTATCACTTCGCATACATTTGTAGGATTCGACGTAATCAAAAAAGAGAAAGATTTTCGTTTACATTCCTGATGATATTTTAAATAATCTGAGATCTAAGAGTTCGTGTATTTTCTAGCAGGTTGGTTGATTAACTTATCGACTTTTAGAATGATAACGATATTTTAACACAAACAAATATTTAACAGCCAATTTCTTCGACGAGTATTTGTCCTCACACCAGACCTGCTGTACCCCTACTGGTCACGACTTCCCACTAGAACCCCAGGTAACTACCTGTCTGAATGGGGCCAGTCGCTAGTAAGCATCAGATCAGTTTTCAAGTATTGGTTTGTAAGGATTTGATTAACTTGTTACAGGATTTCATTTGCTGAAAAGTCCAAACTAGGACGAGACAGCTTTTCAGTACTCCCTGCAGGTTTCTAACCGATGTCACCTCATAATGAAATCCTGTAAGCAATCAGTCAAATCCCTACAAACCAGTACTTAAATATTTAATAGGTTGAACAACCGTAAGTGCTTGTTTTTTCCGAAGTTCACTACTAATGTAAGTCTAAATGTTTAGTTATCTTTTCTGATAGGTTTAGTTGTGAGTTTTGTCAATGGGTATAGCTCACGTCAGGGATGGAAAGTCTGTCACTTCATATAATTGGTCATTTTCTGTTCTTAACTGAGATTGACTGTATTCAAGCAAATAAGAATTCGGTAACTTGTTGACATTTGCTACAGAATTCTTGTTCACAGAAGCTCTTAACATATTTTCGTGAGATTATCCCCTCTATTATCGTGGTATTGTTTAGCAATATTTAAATCTGGAGTTTAGTCGTGGAGAATAAAGATAATACATTCTATAATGCTCTGAATTCACACTAACAAGAGAAGTTAGATAATGTGTTGCACAAACTGATATTTGGTCTAATTGAAAGCAGTTTGATATCTAAACTATAAGTGAATGAAAATGAATTCTAATCGTATAGATTGTGACATACCGAACATTTCCTAAGGTTTTTGACTTCTAGCTGACGCCATATTAGAGGCTGTGAACCATCCTAAAATAGTTCCACAGTATCAGTTACTAGTGTTCGGAGGCTCTTAAAATCTGGTACACTGGGACAATATGTACAACTCATCATTACCTTCATCGTGGCATCTCAGCTGATCCTTTCTGATGTCATCCTGATATTTACATCAGATAAATCTTCTCTTGGAGTGATAATCTTGTGTTACCATGATACACTGGTGTCCTGGGCAACATCTTAGAATTCTTAGTCTAATTAACTGGTGAATACTTCGTATGAATATAATTATCGTACACCCATAATGCCGTCCTGTTTTTATTATCAATTCCTTTTCATCTTGACAAAATTCTGCAGTTATAAGTTTTTCTTGTACATGTATTCCTGTTATATTTTCAAGTAGCAATCACCTAGGTCAAAGAATTAAATGGAAATCACGTCTCCTCTAGTGGTACTAATCGTTTATTTCAACCAAAATAGCCTGACTTTCGCGTCATATTATGCATCTGTTAGTCATCCGACGGCAAAAACATGAATATTATTGTCTTCCGAAAATAGTTGCAGTTTCCTCATAAACAACATTCTTTTCGCCTGTTAACTCCATCTATCCTCAGAACTCTAGAATTTATGCAAATACTATGACGTAATTTAGTTCAACTTGAACAGAGAATAAATTATTATTATTATCTTTCACTTATCGAATCAGCTGAGAATTCGTGCAACAGGAGTGATTCAACACGTGTCTCGGATACCTGGCCTTATGACAAGCAGGAAGGAATAACGAGGAGTTCAAAAGTTGAGTTTCAAAACTGGGTATTTACAATTGTTGTAACTATGACCAATAAATTAAATCCATAACGTCATCCAGTAGACAGTACTGTTTCACTGTATGATTTTCATAATAAACAAACTAATATGGGATTAACTACTATTAAAGTGTTCAGAATTAACATACATTAAGATTACTATGACCGTCACAAAGAAACGGGTTTGAAAAAATGTATACGAACACATTGTTCAGGTCTTCCTTCATGCATAGGCAGCACTTTGACTACACATATAAATTTATGAAAAAGTACACTTTTAGAGTGGCTGAATTTATTTCATTCCTTTGCGTTCCATGTAGAACATGGGGCTTTACGGTTTAAGTTTATGCAACATCGCTGTTTTTACGTGGTGGGATTGCCACTATCACATCCAGCCTTCCCGGCCCACTACCAGCAGGTAAACTGGACAAGATTCAAGAGTGCGTCGGTCAGGAATCGAACACGAACCTCTTGCGTGGCTAACAAGCATCCTACCATTGAACCATCAACAATAGCGTCTAAATCAGATAACTTTAAACAATAAATCACGTTGGTATGAGTGACGTGACCCAAGATGTTTGGTCCAGTTAAAAACAATTTCACTATTCGACCTCTTAAGAATCCCCTATTAGTGTAGTATCACTTGAGGTACTCTTAGAAAGTATACTTGTAGCCATTAATTCTCATATGTGAGTGTCATAAAGAAGTGTAAGTCAATAAAATCTACATAGCCATTATAGAAATAATCTATGTGCGTCAAAAAATAGAAAAACAAATGCATTTCGTTCACGGAATTGAACTATTTTGCAAAATATTTCTACTCAGAATATAAGATTGTTAAAGAGACTATGATACCGTTATATTTCGGTAAGTTATTTTCCTCTCTTAATTGTTAAAATTATGTGTTCAAGGGTAACAACTGTGTAGTGTTGCTTTTAGAAAAGATTGACTGTTTAAGCTGATAAGCAGAATCGCAGTCATTCTGGTAGTTGGATGGAAAAGTAATGCATACAATTTCTAATTAGTGTAATACCGAACTACCCATGTATGTTACACTGAACCACCCCTTCATGAATAGCATTTCTGTGAGTACTTCTAAAACTGAATACTCGGACAGCTTACCTGAGAAAACGTATCTCGAAGATGTCGAAAAATTCCTATGTGGGGTACTCAACAATGCAGCTAAATGATATTCTATTCATATGAAGAAACATGCTTGCAACTTTGTTAGAAATATCACAGATTTCCCAATCAATCGCATAAGAAATTTACTCACTACACAACCTGTTCCATAAACAAAGTAATTCATCGAAATTTAATGTGTATATATGTCAAACGAAGGAATTCAAATTAAAAAGACCAGAACACTTTATGTACAAATTTATTCACTCATTTGCTTGACTCTAGTCTGCCCACAAAGATTATTTCGAATTACATCTGCAAGCTTAACACAGTTGTCCATAGCATATACTAGAGATTTCCGAAGAAACTCTGTGTGAGGCATATGTGAATCCACTGTATACAACATAGAAAATTGACGGAGACGAGGTAAAACGGCAACACAAATATGACCACTTTCATTCTCAAGATTGGACAGATCCAAATTTAATCCGACTAAAAGATCATACATTTGAACACCAGAGTTAACCAAAGCTAATCCTGCACATGTGACGGCAGCAGCCAAACAATCTCCAATTAACCCAGTCGAGTTATGTGAACACACATCCAGAATAGTTGCGACAATTTCATATTTGCCTCTTGGAAACTGATGCTTTCGTTTCAAAAGAAAGTGAAAATTAACGAGATTAGGAACCAAGCAATAGTATACAATAAATATATGTAACTGCATAAAGCTAAAATTGATGCTAAGATATTAACAGGGAACGTCATTTGCCTTCCCAACTGTTTCAATATCTACGCTCAAAACCGATTTATTTAAATTCAAGTCAAAAAGGAATGAAGACTAAGAGTAAAAAAAGCATAATTGATATATGAAGAGAAAACTGGGTGGGAGGAATAGGGATATTTGTCATTACTACTTAAATAAAGTTAAGTATTCATCTACAACATTGCGACAGGCTTCAATTCCTTAACTACCTTCGTTTTAATCCGGAAATCAATTTTCATCCAGTATTGAGATGTTGTTGACAATAAGTCTGTGTGGTCAAAACACATCCATCTCACCTACGTTGAGAAAACTTTACAAGTGTATTTAGCCACCTTCCGGCCTTATAAGGTAATATAAATCTAAAGAATCAACCTGTACTTCGTGATGTCATCGATGCGGATGAAGATAGTGCTAGTTAAGTTACAAAATATCGATCGAGCTTCACATTGGCGAAAAGTATATGAAAGGGATGACAATATTAATAAAGACATACGTGAAAAGATGAAAAAAAGAGAAAACCGAGGTATTTATAACTACAGCAGATGAAAAAACAAATTAACAGTTTGAGACCTTTGTTTATTTATTGAGAAGTGCAGGATGCAGAGGCTAGAAGTCAGTGGACACTCACTTCAAACAGGTACATCTAAAAGATAGCAGATTTGAAACTGTCAACTTGGATAGTATCACAGAAGCATCTATTACGACGACCACACGAGTGTGCGAATATTCAAATAAGATTCATATCTCAGTGCCTATGATTACTGATGAAGACACAAACAAAAGACAAGACACTGCGAACTTAACTGATAGAATTCAGTCTGCACCAAACAAAGGACTAAACACACTAAACTAGATACTAACTAGTGTCCAATCAAAGACACGTTTACTATTAATCAAAATAAGCCGCTCCTGACTACAAGCTAAAGATTCAGCTGTGCAATATCTTTTATTTCATGGCTTTGGAATATCTCCGTAAAGTTCTACTACCTACACAAATTATTATTACAGAGGTCTTCATTAGGCTGTCTGCAAGTCATGAAGTCAAGTTTAGGGGGATTCATAAGTTGAAGACGAGAAATTCAAAGTATATGATAAGAATGTAGACTTGTGAAAACCAAGGTAACTGGAGGTGATTTAATGTGTCCACGAACTGTTAAATAAAAAACGATTCGGTTGGGAGAATTTTGACGTGACTAGACCAACAAATAACACCAACAGATGCAGCACAGAACCGTTGGTTTGAGCTAAACAAGATAGCTGTCGCATAAATTGTATTAGGGGTCATCAGGCTGACTAAAAACCTGCGGCTGCAGACTCACTGTAGCGACCCTCATGACCTTCGGAATTCTGATCATCATACAGATATTCATGCACTTGCCCCCTCCATTTTTTTTGCTTTTTCCAAGAGTGGCATGTCGGTTAGCTGCACTGCTGTGCGGTGCTGAAGACCATTTCTCACAAAATCTAAGTATACTGCTCCCAACTACTTTACATGAGCATCGATAAATACCTGTATTTCTAGCAGAAATACATACACGGATACCTTACTATGCATACGCTGATTATTTCAGGTCAAATGTAGTTAGATGGAGAGCCATAGCATGAAAATTAAGTAATCTGGTAGGACCACTTGTTTGTGCAGTACCTAATTTTTCGCATAGAATTCAGTGGAATTCTATGACGCCTTCATGCGTGCTATTTCCAGATGAAACTGCTTATATTTCGCCAGTTAATGTAATTTATACAAACAACGTCTGTATCGCGTTTTTAGTTCAAAACTGCCCGTCTGCCGAATACGTTAAAACCGCGAAAAATATAAAAGATATAAGGCTACTATGCTACATATCGAAAAGCAAATCATGGTAGCAGTCATGGGATCACACTATTTACAAAAAAACTATACAGCATATGTAGCGTATGTATATGCACAATTGTCACTGCTTTACTTTCAAAAGACACTTTTATGAAGATGAAAGCCATTACTTAACTGCTTCGGCCATTTATACGATGCAACTGGGTTAGGGATGGTAAACGATATTTTGTGCCTCATACAGTCTGTGGACCCAAGCATCTTAAAGAGTTCAAGTTTTAGGAAATAGGTACTTTCAATAAGTTATTCAATATGTGGACATATATGTGCCTTGCGAAAGCTATCAGCATAATAACGAATAAAGTAACTTACCAATATAACAGCAGGCTCAATAGCACTCAAAAGTAAACGGCTTAGTTTTTTTTCCAAGGACACAATGCTATCTTTAGGTAACCAGCGTACAAATGGAGCAAATTTCAAAGCAGCGACCAACTGACTATCCTGACGCATCTGTATTAGTCATTAAAAACAAGATAAAATTTGAACACCAAGCAAACACACCTCAGTAGGACCATTGACACTGCAAGAAACTTTGATGTCACCAACCTCAAGATAGGCGGAACCATCAGTTACCGGATTTGTACCCAAACTGAAAACTAATAAATTGTCAATATCAGTTTGACAACCTACATATATCAGGTGGACATTTTTCTTTATATTTCTGAAAAAAAATAAAACCTAGTATGCATAATTACCACGGTCTGTTCTTCGCTAAGGAAGTATTCCAGGTCTATAGATTCAGATGGTTTAGATAATGCAGGGAGCATGACCTAGTGAAGTTCAATTGTAACACAAACCTCAAAGCACCCGCGTAGATTCCGCCATCCAATATACAATGCCCTTACAATATCCAATATTGCTTTTACGGGCTAGTGTAAACTAGTTTGACTTATTTCTGCTCACTTCTAGGTTTAAAGTTAAGGTCCCTGGTCTTCGGCAAACTTTTGCGTAGTTCGCCTAACCACATAACTGATGTAGCTTTGGTTGACTCCAAAAGGAAATGTGGTGGGATTACTGACATGTTTTTTGTGGTATGCGGTAAGTTAAGACTGTGTTATAATGTGAATGGAGTTAGTCCTTTCACCAGTTAGTCCTCCGGTGTCGCCGACAAAAGAAAATAGATAATAATAGTAACAACAGATATAATTCATGTAGGTTATTCAGACTAAGAGGCAGGAAAGGAAGTAAGGAAAACGTGAAAACAGGTAGCTAATTGAATTTGAAGTTGATATATATATATCTATATACATATATGTGTATATAATGTCAGAGATAACAAGTGTAAGTGTAGTGGTTGGAGTAGTCAGTAGAGTAAGACAGGACAGAATGTAAAGAAGTAAAACTATGAGTTTAGATATCTACCCATTAAGGATGAATGAGATTTTAAGGGGATAGGCAAATTGGACGCAGGCCTTGTTCTCTGCGTGACTGTCCAGCCTTCGTTTAAGGCTGTTCGTGGACGGTGATGTGGCTACATATCCTGGCAAGGAGTCCTAGGAATTGTAAACTGGCAATGAAAAGAGATGGGAGCGCAACGAGCCGTTGGCCTCTGGTGAGCAATCCTCCTGTGATTTCCACGAGGAGGCCCATACCTACTCATTGGCAGAGCGCCTTTGTTTGGGTGATTCTGGTTATTTGTTATCTTATGAGCAGTGATCAAGTCCCCTCTAAGCCGACAGGAACTAAGTGTGAAGATACATTATTTCTTTAGCCGTTCATCATACTATTTGTATTGGAGACTCATTACCGCTTTTGTCGCACATCTTTGGACTTTTTCCAAGAAAGTCGCATCTCTTCTAAGCAGGAAAGGTGCAATGATATTGTGTACTTCAAAGTGTGGTCTGATGTATGTTTTGTACGACTTTAGAAATAGCTCAGGAGTGATTGCACCTAAGTGTCTATGTGTGAAGTGTATGACCGCATATGCCCTCGCTATATCTCCCGCGTAATTCGAGCTTGTAACCAATTTTTCCGTTGAAACTAGACCGGAGTCGCCTCCGTAGTTGTTCAGGACAGGCTTTCTTTGCACATGATGCAACTTGCATTCTGAAGCCTACAGGTGCGTAATTTCATTACTTTGCACTTTTCCAGGTTGAGAATCAGGCCTTTAGCCACCATCCAGTCTTCCAGAAGCTTCAAGTCTGCCTGCAGCCTATTTGAGCTTTCCGAACACTGCTGTTCTACAAATCTTTACGTCGTCAGTGCAAAGAAGAGTCAGGCAGCTTATATGGAATGGTAGGACATTGAAAAAAATTAAAAACATCATTGGCTCTAGGATAGAGCCCTGAGACACTCCCGATGACGAGGCCTGCCTAGATGATCGGACTCAATTGACCTTAGTGCAAAATTTCCTTTCAGCTAGGTATTCCTTCAACCATGACAGGAGTGGCTCACCTATACTTGCCTGACTTATTTTGTGTAGGAGGTCATGGTGAACTGCGTCAAATGCCTTCTGAAAGTCTAGAAAGACCACAGGAACTGGAATATTCATATCCCAGAATGATGTCCATTCGTCCCAAGCTGCTTGTAGGTTTGTTACACATGATCTGCCCTTCCTAAGACCATGTTGTGCTTCATGGGGTATATTAGTCCTGTGGAGGTTGTCTCTGATTCGATAAGCAAATATACTTTCCAGAACTTTTGATACCACCTTGTGTAGTGCAACTGGTCTATGACTGGTGGCACTTGGCCTGTCTCCACCCTTGGAAACGGCAGAAAGTGTGGTTCTCTTTCACTCCCTTGACAATTTCCCCGAATCCATTGACTGTTGGAACAAGTCGCATGAGAGCCTATAGAGAGCTCCGGCGCGCTGTTTCAGAACAGATACCCTGATTTTCACAATCCATGTACTTTCCAAATGCGAGCCTCTGTAGATTCCTTAGTGCTATTGCCGAGTTTGTTTGGAGGGTAGCCACTAGATATCCCCCGGGCGAAGCAGTAGTGCCGCCATTTCGGTTAGCACCAGTAATACTCACATTAGTGTTTAACTGTGTGGCGAAGGCTAAACTGAATGTTTCAGCCATCTCCAATCTAGTGAGGTAGTGACCAATAGGAGTTACGAAGTCGCACGCCCTTTGGTTGGTTGGTTTTCTTTCCGACATATATTGGTACATGCTTTTGTGGTTCGCCAGGAGTTTTTGGCAGGGTTAGCTTGAAATGCCCCCTGTTACCCTTAACTCTCACGTTGCACCGGTTTCTGAGTTCCTGGAATGCGTCATGGTCGGTCTGACTCTTGGATATTCTCTACAAAGACCGAGCCATCCGCTTTGCTTGTAGAATACGTTGCGTGCCTCTTTCCGGCTATGTTTTCACAAGCCTGTATAAACCCATTGATTTCCTTCCACTTTTTTATATTTGAGCCTAGACCATTAGTAGATTCCTCAAGAAGAACAGATCTAACCCTCTCAGCTGCGGTAAGTATGCTGAAAAGAAAAAGGAGCTCGTTAATTTGTTTTTCAATAATCCATGACGCTTTTACGAGCCATTGTGAACAAAATTGATTTCTTTGTGCATAAATGTGGTCTTAAGGTAAAAGTTCCAAATTTTCGGTTCACTTCCGTCACACGACTGCCGTAGCTTTGGTTGAAATCAAGGGAACTGTTTTTGGGACTGGTTGTGGTTTGCAGTATCTTGTGAGTTAAGACCGTGCCACTGCTGACAATGGAGTTGGTCTTCTCACCCGTCAGTCATCTGGTGGTTGGATATCATCACAGCCTGGTTGTGATGAGGTGAGATTTTGTAGTTTCACGAATGCCATTACGGAGTTAATGTGAAGTGCACCTTAAAAAGACGCCTTTTCCATCAAAAGAATTGCTCAAATTACCGACCGACAGCTGACCTAGCTGTAGGAGGCAAATTAATTTTCGGAAGCTTTTTTTGAAGGCACGGCAGAGGATAGGCTAAGCGGAAACCTGATTAAGCAAACAGAAAGTCATTCATCGTTCTTCAGGTAAGGAAATCATTACGAATGATAAAAAACATATAGTCCATAATTAACTGCTGTGTTGGTCCTTCTGAATCCCTCCGTTACTAACTACATCTCATTGGCCATTGGATATCATGTTGTATAGGCACCACAACCAACAAGAACTGCTAACTTTTCGCGTTTTTGCTCAATTAACCTGTGACATTCTAAAGGAGCTTTCACGCCTCTGTAACTAATCTGAATCTCGACTGATCACCTACAAATCTTTCCGAACTGCTAGGTGTTCTGACAGGCTGGTGTTTGGTAAGGAACTTATAGCCATTCTATTACAATATAGGAGCTTATCATTCTAGTGGTTATAATTAGTTAAAATGATCATGTCGAAGGATTGGTGGTTAACTCAGGAAATTATTTCAGAGATAAAAGAGTAGAAATATCTCCAAAAATCTGACAGGCTCATCCCACAGTTCATAATTTTGGAGAAATAAGTTTGGTATTTAAAGATTGTGTGAGTGTTGAAATCGACTAAGTGGTAAATAGTTAAAGATAAAGTAGTCAGAATCACCAAAATAGTTGGGTCAACAATAACTTATGAATGCCTCAGTGGAAGGGGGAAATTACTGGTCTTTTAGTTTGTGTAACTATGGCCAGATGAGGGAATTTTTTCACGAGTTTCTTCTGTATGCTGCCGTTTGTCTTTTTCGGGTGGACTCTGAGCACCCTAGCTCTACGCAGAAGACGAACCCGTAGGGAAAAACTGGTGATAGGTGGAAAGTGATTTATGATCTTACAAGGTGTGCCAAAGATATATGCTTCGTTTCGTCCGTTCACTTATAATGAACGAAACGACGCGAATTTAAAGTGGATTCTTGGAAATGTTTGCACAGCAACTAGGAGAATTTAAGTAGTCGGAGAATTTGATACTGGTGGCAGTAAATGAAAATGATATCTCCCTGTACAATTCGGCATGCTGGAGTCAAGTGGGGGGTTCTAGTGGGTGATTGCACTGCAAGTGCGAGGGAAGCCAATACACTGATGCTCCATCTTGCGCGCTGAGTGTTAAATTAACAACATCCAAATAAGTGTGATGAATGATAATGAAATTATGGATGAGAACTTTCTTGTTCCTCTTCATGTATGAAATGTTTTAGCCAGACCTTGGCAGACAATTTAGTGGTAACTTGTGAATCAGTGGGACATGATAACGTTAAACAGGAATTGATCCAATCTCAATAGGAGCACTACTGGTGAAATTATTACGGAACGAAACATTTTAATTTGTAAGGCGACCGCCAGTATCAGTTAAGACTGTGATTAGATCTGACTTTCGATCAGAAACTACCTGTCCCCCCCCCCTTTGAAGCATTTAGGAGGACCTACGATTCTCCAAGTGAACGTCTCTGAAGAGCACCTGCGCAATGTGTTGGTTGGTGAGTGCTGGTCTATTGATAGGAACCATTTTTGGATAGCCGTAAAGACTGGAAAAGAGGTCGTCAATAAGGAACGAAAATCTAGTATGGTGTTTCCAGAAAGACTCACAGTACCTAAGCTAGTGTAAGTATATTCTGGGTGAATACTCTGCTGAGAGAGCTGAGCTTCACCGCAAGAGTACCATGAGGGTGATGGTTTTGTCCATAAGGTGGTGCACCTGCAAGGGTGATTCGTTTCAAGCGAGGATAAGTTATGTAATATAAATTACGATATAAGGGCAGTAAAATAAACCATAGGGCTTCAACAAACCATCTCCACTTTCTTCTATTTTATGCTGTCCTCTTCAGCTGGATCGACGATTCCTTATCATCTCTCATTTCCTCCTTCTCCTCGCCAACACACGCTCTCCCACATGTCATCCTTCCACATGTCATCCTCCCACTTATAACCCACTCGTCACTTCCCATTGAG